TTCTAATCACCTGAACAAGGCCGGAGCGTACAACAGCGGAAACGTTGTGAATATGCCAATGAAGTTGAGGATAAGAGTCCGAATAATGTAAATAATGCAGGCAATCTTAATACCTCATCTCAGAGATACAGACACATATTAAAAGAAAAGGTGTTAGAAATAAAGGGTTCGGTTTGAAATTCCAATCACCTGAAGAAGGATGAGCGTACAACACTCGAAACGTTGTGAATATGGCAATGAAGATGAGGATATCAGTCCGAAGAGTGTAAATAAAGCAAGTAATCATAATGCCTCATCTCAGAGATATACACAGATAATCCAATCACCTGAAGAAGGCCAGTGTGTACAACGGCCAAATGTTGTGAATATGGTAATGAAGATGGGGATAACAGCCTGAAAAATCTAAATAATGAAAGTAATCATAATACCTCATCTCAGAGATATAGAGGCCAAAACGTTGTAAATATGGCAATGAAGATGAGGTTAACAGTCTGAATAAAGTAAATAATGCAATTAAGCATAATACCTCATCTCAGAGATATAGACAGAGATTCTGGTGTGGAAAAATTGTCTCGCACGACACAGTGAACCAACTTTTTTAGCAGGTGATCTAGCGATGGATTCCAGTATAGTTTTCTACTTCATGTCAGCAGAGAATGTTAGACAAAGAAGGCACAACGTGCGACTCTCCTGGAGGTTAGCATCAGTCATTCTGATTGATGGCAGAAAAGGTTCTCCCCCAGGTGATTAAGAGAGCGTAGATTTGAGTTGCAGGCGTTAAAATTAAGGAGCCATTACCTGATTTTGGAGCTTATCGAACTAATCAGTTTTTACTCAGAGTTGGTGAGCGGTCTTCATATTCTACAGCCGATATGCAAGCAATGTATACCCGAAAAGATTTGAAACCACATTGTATGACTGCCGTTTCCCATTAAGCGCCAAACGATAAGGTATAAACGACATTTTTTTCTTTCTTTTTTTACTCCTATTCGATATTGTTCCGTTACAAATCTCGTAAAAGACGGAATACATTTTAGTCCCTTGAATGTCTTAGATGAAGCATTGTTTTTATTATCAATATTTGAGTAGTTTTTCTTTCTATTATTGGTAACGATGAGGACAACGAAATATAAAACAAACAAAAATAGGAATAATCACAGAAACGTAGGCAATATTGTCGCTTATCGTATCTGTCTTACCTCAAGCAGTTCATTACTACTACACCAATTCATTAGCTATGATTACGTGATTTTTGGTAGTATTTCTGACATACTGAATGTACTGAATGAAATTGACGGCTTTTATTTCTCACATAAAAAGAACTTTTTGAGTCTCCACACTCAGAATGTTGAACATTGAGAATCAGAAAATTATTTACTGTACTTAGTAATTATTATTACTGATAAATTAGGGCGATAATGTAATGTTTGCATTAATTATTGATCATTGACAATCGCTTTCTTCCTCATTTTCAATGCATTCCTATAGTAAAATCATTAGTAATGCATTTACATTATACATATAATAGCCCTATTCTATCAGTAATGCTTGCATTCACAATTGATTTTGACAATCCCTTTCTTCCTCATTTTCAATCCATTCCTATAGTAAAATCATTAGCAATGCATTTACATTATACATATAATAGCCCTATTCTATCAGTAATGCTTGCATTCATTCCTGACCACTGACAATCCCTTTCTTCCTCATTTTCAATGCATTCCTATAGTAAAATCATAAGCAATGCATTTACATTATACATATAATAGCCCTATTCTATCAGTAATGCTTGCATTTATTCCTGACCACTGACAATCCCTTTCTTCCTCATTTTCAATCCATTCCTATAGTAAAATCATTAGCAATGCATTTCCATTATACATATAATAGCCCTATTCTATCAGTAATGCTTGCATTCATTCTTGACCACTGACAATCCCTTTCTTCCTCATTTTCAATGCATTCCTATAGTAAAATCATTAGCAATGCATTTCCATTATACATATAATAGCACGATTCTATCAGTAACATTTTTTTACTAACTACCGTGAATTTAATGTGATTCTCAATGCGCATCACACTTGCCCAAGTCCATTTTAAGGTTAAAATAAAAGTTGTCAATTTAGGAACTTCATTACATTTATTCCCTATTGTCAAAAATAGTACCGAAAATCACGTAATCATAGCTAATGAAATGGTGAAGTAATAGTGAACAGTTTGAGACAGCACAGTTAAGATAAGCTATAAGGAATCACGAGAGTGAGTGAATCTTTCGACGTGTCTCGTTAATGAAATGCTACCCGAGGTATCACGAGTTATATGAGCTCCGAATTTAATTTAGAGTTGCAAAATAAATTTTAAATCGTTCAAAAAACAGGATGGAAACGAACGAGAAAAAGATTTAGAAATGTAATTTCTACAAAAAAACACAAAAAAAAAAAATTATAAAAATAAACGAAAAAAAAGGAAACAATTCGAAACAATATTCCTTCAGTTACAAATCTAAATTTTTTTCTGTTTTTTTTTTTGTTAGGTCTTTAAAAAAAAGACCTAACAAAATAATTGAATGTTGATCTTGTAAAAGAAGATTTTATTTCGTTCAAGTTTTTTTTTTCCCCTCTTTCGACAAATTTAAACTTTCTATTTTTTTTCTCCTCTCTACTTAATGATTTATTTCTTTAAGTCTCTAAACAATTTATTTTCTTTATAAACTCGGCATTGAAATTTTACTCAGGCAATCTGTTTTATTCGTGTCGATATTTGCGACCAGGCAAAAGATAAAACATTCAAATCGACTCTCTCTTTCTCATTTTTATTTTTTTTTTGTTTTTTTTTTTGGATTTCTTCCTTTTTTCTTTCTTTTTTTTTTTAAATGCCTTTAAGAGTTTCGGTTTAGAATGAAAAACGCAAGAGAGACTCTACCGCGGATGAATAGGATTTAAGGATAAAAAGGCTTTTCGAGATTGCATACTTTAAAAACATTAATGGGATGCTGGGGTTAGTCGGCATTCAAGTCCCCGAACGGGGAATCATACAAGACGAAGAAGATCCCAGAATGCATTACGTTCAGCGTCACGTGATTAGCATAATGGATTATTACTCCCTGTTTTCACGTCTTAGTTTGATTTTTTGATTTTTAAAAAGATTTTTTCATTTCATCTTTCATTCATTTCCCTCTCCCCGTATGGAAAAGGATTCTTTTCTCTTTATATATATATATATATATATATATATATATATAAAGGGATATAGTCTTAAGGTATGCTATATTTATGGAATAAAGTGCTCAATATCAGAGATAGAGTGTGTAAATATAAAAGTGAACATAGAAGTCAACACTTAGAGACGACAGTCTGTTTCATGCTATATGCAATCGTCAGGCCACATGGATTTGTTCATATGGATATTGGTTAAGTTTTTTTTATACAATTTCTCATGTGATCTTATATATTATACAAAAAAATGTCCAAACGTTTTATTTTTCCAAGCGCTTTCGGCTATACATTAAACCATTTTCAAGGATGGAATATATTTACTGTTAAATGCAAATGGATTGTTGTATGTATGTATTTAGCATTATAGAATGTTTTCATTTTCAAAACACGGTCAAGGTATTGTTTCCATGTTCATAGTTGATATTATTGAGTGTTGTATTTTTTTTGTTTTTATTAATAAGGCTTCCATTATTGTTGGCCTTTTTTTTTAATATGTAGACGATGCTGTTATATTTAGAATATCAAATATATTATAGTATTTTGAGAATAGAGTCCGGTAGGTCTCCATGGGTATTTAAATGAGACCTAATTGAGCTATGGTCAGAAAGATGTAGCGTGAGTCTTTATAAGTGTTATACCTGACGTACCTATTCTATTATTAATAGACTCTCCCACACATAAGTAGTAGTAGTAGTAGTAGTAGTAGTAGTAGCGGTCGACAGTTGGGCTCAGTGGTGTTGAGTGAGTCAGTCGATATCGGACATTGAAGTACCAACCATCACAACTAGATTGCTGCGTCATTAACTCTTATTTTTCAAGTTCCTAACGTTTTGTACGTCGAACCTAATTTAAGACGACTTAGTGAAATACAAGCCTCCACTGTGAAAACTACTCTACAAAAATAAGATAGATAGATAGATAGATATAAGTAGACAAATCGATTTTTAGAAAGACTTTTCCGAGCGTTTTCAGTTATACATTTAGCCATTTTCAAGGTTGAGACATATTGACTGTTAACAAAAAATAGATTGTTGTATGCATGTATTTATATAATGTTTCATTTTCAAAACATGGTCAAGATATTGTGTCCATCTTCATAGTTGATATTATTGAGTGTTTTTTTTTTTTGTTTTTTTTTTTTATTTCAGGTGGAGCATACTCCCGCAAAAAAGAAAAAAATAATTAAAAAATAAAACATTGGTATCGACTGGTCTACAGCGAGGATTTCTTCAGTCATTTTGCCTGATGTTGTCCTGCTGCCGTGTATTATTCATATAATCTTTCTATCTCAGTTATAGCCCGTACTCTGATCTCTTTGCTTCAGCCATCTCACCGCACAAAAACTGTTTAGAGACCCTGTCGTCCTTCACCCTAACCATATGACAACTCCATCGCAACCGGCGCTTGTCCTGGGTATGATGATAAACTACATCCGGCAGCAAAGCCTCACATCAGCAGACGGGGGGGGTTGAGGAGCGTGGAACCACCTCTTAATTGCTGTTGTTCCCAGGTTCACCCTGACCCGGGGTGATAGCACCTGTTTGGGCCCCAGCTATGGGAAAATAGTGAACTCCCAAACAAAAATCAACAGTACGTTATTATAATAAAAGGAGCCACAATATATTTTTTTATAGCAAAATGACACTCAATGTAACAATAAAAAAATATAATGCCAGGAAAAAATATGAAGCCGAAGGATGCAGACGTTCTCTGCGAAACGCGTTTATAGATTTTCCACCTAGTCTCATTTTCTACAATTATACATCCGACAAACACAGTCTAATTATGCTTATATCTCAACATATAGGAAGCACTTGCTATCTATCATATGCTTCTTTCTTTCTTTCTTTCTTTCTTTCTTTCTTTCTGTCTATTACAGTCTATTCATATCTATCTATCTATCTATCTATCTATTACAGTCTACTCATATCTATCTGTTAGTTCATCATTATCGATCTGTTAGTTATTTCATATCTATGACAGTCTGCTCATATCTATCTATCTATCTATGACAGTCTGTTCATATCTAGCTATCTATGTATACATCCATTACAGTCCGTTTGTATCTATCTATCTATCTATCTATCTATCTATCTATCTATCTATCTATCTATCTATCTATCTATCTATCTATTACAGTCTACTCATATCTGTCTGTTAGTTCATCATTATCGATCTGTTAGTTATTTCATATCTATCACAGTCTGCTCATATCTATCTATCTATCTATCTATCTATCTATCTATCTATCTATCTATCTATGACAGTCTGTTCATATCTAGCTATCTATGTATCCATCTATTACAGTCCGTTTCTATCTATCTATCTATCTATCTATCTATCTATCTATCTATCTATCTATGACAGTCTGTTCATATCTAGCTATCTATGTATACATCCATTACAGTCCGTTTCTATCTATCTATCTATCTATCTATCTATCTATCTATCTATCTATCACAGTCTATTCATATCTCATTGTGATGAGATCTATTTGTCTGTCTATTATGCGAAGAAGACTCCTGATAAATCTAAAGCAATCTCTCTCAATTATTATTATTATTATTATTATTTCCAAGGTATGTCAGCGATACGCAGATTTAGAGAAGGAAGATTTTCAGTTAAGTGTACCATTTCTTTTTTCATCTTGACTTGATGGCTTAACCTATTTATGGAAAAAATTTCACCACCGAGAGGCAGTCAGTCATGCTTCAGTTCCTCTGTCCTACATTACTGCTTGACATGTCACTTCGATTTTACACCCTGATATGAACACACACACACACACACACACACACCATATATATATCTGTTTATATATATATATATATATATATATATATATATATATATATATATTAAAGATAGAGAAATTCGTCTCAAAAAGGTGCCGTTTTTTGGTTGTAATGTGGATTTATTTAGAAAAAATATTATAAATAGGAGACATTCTCTGTTTTTGTGTTAGTAATTTGAATTTCGAGAATATTTAACATTGAACATAAGGAAAAAATAATTATTTTTAATAATATGTGGAAATCTCCGCCCTTTACCTGAAGACGGTCGCGAGACCAGAAACCTGTGTAGTACAATTATGTAAAACAAAGCATAATATTTTTTCTAAATAAATCCACATTACAACTTGCGGCACCTCTCTTCTCTTCTTTTTAATATACATACTTTTCCTCGTTGGATCGTTGGAACCAGTACAACCTCTTTTTTTTATTATATATATATATATATATATATATATATATATATATATATATATATATATATATATATATATTCAGGATGTTAATGTAACTAAAACAACGCATATACTTAAATAAATCGTATCGATAAAAATAATATGTAGACAGAATCTATCTATCTATCTATCTATCTATCTATCTATCTATATATATATATATATACAATGTATAGATAGAAAATATTTATATATATATATATATATATATATATATAATCGACTCTCCCGTCGAGATTCGACGTATGAGGAAAAAAAGCAGATCAGTTCCCAGGAAACCGACAGCCCAACACCGGCACATGAGATTTGATTATAGTGGTGAAGGCCTCGTGCAGGACCATCCACACGTTTTGAAGGGACGAATACAGAGACCTGTTGCACTAAAGTGCCACAAGGTCCCCAAACGACCCTCATCCGCAGGTTTTGAATTCAGAGTTGTACTTCTCCTAGACCAGTTGCCATCCAAGGCTATAGAACCCAGTCTGACCTGCTATTTTACCCACGGTGGAGTAATGGATAGCGGCTTGGATTGAGGAATCGCAGAGCTGAGTTCGAATTCCAGTCAAATCCATTATATTCACTTACGTGCTAATACCCCTTGGGAAAGGTATGAATCCTCTTCCTCGCCCTCCAGCTATGGGTATATATATATATATATATATATATATATATATATATATATATATATATATATATATATATATATATATATATTCACATTATTTTTATCGATACGATTTATTTAAGTATATGCGTTGTATTAGTTACATTAACGTCCTGAATGTTTGAGAAATTTCATAGAAAATATGCGTTCTCTGACAGGAATCGAACCTGTATCCCTACACGAAAACCATCATTTGGCCTAACGTCCTATAGCTACAAAGAAGTTTCTACAGGAGGATGCTGAGGTTACCAAGTGCCGAACATGTGAGTAACGACGGAGTTTTAGAGAAAAGGGAAACAAAAAGGAAACTTATACTTGACCTCAGGAAAAGACAGTTGAAGTTTCTAGAGCACACAATGAGGAAAGAGGGCTTGGAAAATATGATACTCACAGGACAGACTGACAATAAGATGTACAGAGGAGAACAGCACATTGCCTACATAATGATGACAGAGGGTGTGGAAAATCTGATACTGACAGGGCTGGTTGACGATAAGAGGGCCAACGGAAAACAATGCATAACCTATTTAATGAGTAAATAGGACTTGTAAAATCTGATGTTCACAGGTAGATTGAAGGCGAAAGAGACAGAAGAAAACAAATCGATGGCGGAACAGTGTTTAGACGAAATAAGAGAAAGACAAAATTTATTAAGAGCTGCAAGAGACAAGAAGTTGTGGAGAGCCATGATCTTCTACGTCCTGAGGGGACACGGCACAGGAATAATTTGAATATACATACTGAGTCCTTTTGTATAAAATGTAGAACACAGAACCGAGGAAGGTGAGGAGTTATCTGACTGCCGGGACAAGAAATATGTCTTGCGGCGAGAGAAAGCGAGACTTCGGAAGATAGAAAACGTGTCATGTGGCGAGAAAAAGCGAGACTTCGGGAGATAGAGAACGAGTCATGCGGCAAGATAAACCAGGACATCCGGAGATAAAAAACGAGTCATGGAGTGAGACAATGCGAGACTTCGGGACATAGAAAATGAATCATGCACGCGAGAGAAAACGCAACTTCGGGACATAGAAAATATTTCATGCGGCGAGAGAAAGCGAGACTTCGGGGGATAGAAAACGTGTCATGTGGCGAGAGATAGCGAGACTTCGAGTGACAAAAAACGACTCATGAAACGAGATAAAGCGAGACTTCAGTAGATTGAAAATCATTCATGCAGCAAGAGAAAGCGAGACGTTGGCAGACAGAAAACGAGTAATACGGCGAGAGAAAGCGAGACTTCGGGGGGATAGAAAACGTGTCATGTGGCGAGAGATAGCGAGATTTCGAGTGACAAAAAATGAGTCATGCAACGAGATAAAGCGAGACTTCGGTAGATTGAAAATCATTCCTGTGGCAAGAGAAAGTGAGACGTTGGCAGACAGAAAACGAGTCATACGGCGAGAAAGCGAGACTTCGGGGGATAGAAAACGTGTCATGTGGCGAGGGATAGCGAGATTTCGAGTGACAAAAATGAGTCATTGCAACGAGATAAAGCGAGACTTCGGTAGATTGAAAATCATTCCTGTGGCAAGAGAAAGCGAGACGTTGGCAGACAGAAAACGAGTCATACGGCGAGAGAAAGCGAGACTTCGGGGGGATAGAAAACGTGTCATGTGGCGAGGGATAGCGAGATTTCGAGTGACAAAAAATGAGTCATGCAACGAGATAAAGCGAGACTTCGGTAGATTGAAAATCATTCTTGCGGCCAGAGAAAGTGAGACGTTGGCAGACAGAAAACGAGTCATACGGCGAGAGAAAGCGAGACTTCGGGGGGATAGAAAACGTGTCATGTGGCGAGAGATAGCGAGATATCGAGTGACAAAAAATGAGTCATGCAATGAGATAAAGCGAGATTTCGGTAAATTGAAAATCATTCCTGCGGCAAGAGAAAGCGAGACGTTGCGAGACAGAAAACGTGTCATGCGACGAGAGAAGGCTAGACTTCGGAAGATATAAAATGCGTCGTTTTGCGAAAGAAAGTGAGACTTCGGAAGACAGAAAGCGTTTTCGAGCACCGACGAAAATCGAGTCTTGCGTTGTCCCGAAAATACGGTAGCGATTTTCCAAGCGTAGCTTAGACGTGGCATAATGCCGAAAGTATGGGGCACCCAGTGAGGATCGGACTCAATACTCATTCGTAATTGTGCTAGCGAGACAAACTTGCTAACCATTACACCCCCTCGGGGTGCCGTCCCAAAATACGGTATAGATCGAAGAGAGAGAAAAAGATTCTTACAGCGATAAAAAGAAACTCGTTCTTTGGCGAGAGAAAGCAATTCCTGAGGCGAGAATTTTCTTCAGATAGAATAAGAGTCTAGCGTCGACAGAAAATTATTCTAGTGACAAATGAATTCGTAGTCCTGCGCTGGATGAAAACGGGTCTTGGGACGACATTTTGAGTTATGCCATGAAAGGAAGGAAGTCATTTGCCGATAGAAAGCGAGGGTTTTGGCGAAAGACAATGCATTATAAAGTGCGTCTTCCAGTGACAGATAACGCGTGTCTTGTCGACAATAAGTGTGTCTTTTTGCGACATTAAGCGCTGGTTTTGACGATAGATTGCGTCTTTCGGTGATCTTTTGATTCCAAAATTCTTGGAGATTTTTCCTGTGGTTAAGTGTTGATTTAATTTTATTTAGACGAAAATCCTAGCTGAATACAGCATTTGTTACCGCGTAATATTAATCTTTAATCTTTTCAAAGAATATGCCCTGGGTCTGACGATAAACTACATCCGCGTCCTGGGAAAGACGACGAACTACATCCAACAGCAAGGCCTCTGATCCAGAGGTTTTGAGGAGCGTGGAACCACCTCTTAATTTTTGGTGTTCTCAGGTTCACCCTGACCCGGGGTGGTAGCACCTGTTAGGGGGTCCTATCTATGGGCAAATATTTAACAGCCAGACAACATTCACGTCCCGGGTAAGACGATAAACTACATCCACGTCCAGGGTATGACGATAAACTACATCCGCGTCCTGGGTAAGACGATAAACTACATCCAACAGCAAGGCCTCTGATCAGGAGGATTTGAGGAGCCCAGAACCACCTCTTAATTGCTGGCGTTCCCAGGTCCACCCTGACCCGGGGTTAGGGTCATATCCATGAGCAAACAGTTAACACCAAGACTACATCCGCTTCCTGGGTAAGACGATAAACTACGTCCAATGTCCAACTTGAAAATGATATCGTACGTGAAACATGTGAGGCTTGTTACTCCAGGACAGAAAGTTAGAAGGTTAGAGAGGGCGAAGATCATCTTGAGTAAGTTGGAAAAGGATCAAGAAATCATATATAAATATATTTGAACTTTACTTCAATCCTTCATGGGTTTCCGATCCTTAACTAATTAATGATGAACATGTTATTTTAGTTTATCATCGATTTCATCACGCTTCTTCTGTTAAGCTTGGAGAGTAATTATAGATTCTTATTGTTCAAAGTAGAGTCCAATAGTGTTATAAAAACCCTGGAGAATTCCAGTAAGATATCTTTAATCATTTTTAAGGTAGAGCGGTTCAAAACTTAATCTAATTTTTTCCATGACTTGGACAATTTTGCTGTTACAACCGGTATATATATATATATATATATATATATATATATATATATATATATATATATATGTTTGTTTGTATGTATAATTACTTTAAACTGATAACTTATGCGTGCTGCGCCGTTTATCTATAATCATCAAAGAGGCGTGCTCGAATCTTTTGCCAGTTTTTCTCTCTGTCGGAAAAGAGTAATTTCCTGGACAGACTTTCTCTTCGTATCTTTAATCGTGATCCCCCACTCCAGGATGGATAGCTTGTCTGTCCGCTGTCCTCTTCCAGTCTCGATTTCAATTCTTTAAAAATTAAAATCTTATATAGAAAGATTTAAAAAAAAATTTGAAAACTGATATTTTGGAAACTTAAAAAAGTATACATTAGAGGCAATTGTTGTTCCCCCACCCCACAGCCAAGAATTGTACATATGGGGACTATTTAGGACTTCATAGAGACATTGAGGTGTCTTGTAAAATTAAGGAAGGATAACAGGGGGAGCAAAAGAGTGTGGTAAGTATAACAGTGGAGTTTTAAATTAAATTTTTTTGTCTGTCCTCATATTCATTTATAAAAAAAGTTTTTTTTTATATATGAAGGCAAGGACTTAAGATTTCAGATCTCTGGTTTAAAAGGTTTTTGGGATCTGGAAATGCCATAATCGCTAATTCCTCATGTTGACAAGGGTAGCAAATGCTGGTAGGATTGCTGTATGGTTTTACCGTTTTCAAAATTCCCCACCTTACGAATAGTTTGTTGTTTATTTCTTATAGATTCCACATTTCCCTAATATTACAAGACACCTTTCCTTAAATTTACGTTATACTTGCTATGCTTTTCTACTTTTCTTTACACATTAACGATACACTTGCATTCTTCTTGTCTCTTATTCCTTTCAACCTTCTTCTTTCTCTTCTTACTCCTCCTTAGCCCCCCTCCTTTCTATTACACTCAAAGTTAT